AATCCCAGTTAATTCGGCTGAAGTTGAATAGTGTTTTTCTGCCACTACTGCATGTCATTCCTCTCTTAATTGTAATATGGCGAGCGACATTTTTGTCTATCAGATTCACTCAAAATATTCTTAAACAAAAATCAGATCGGTTTTCTCAATATTAATATTTTTGTGTTTATTTTTCCATATACCAATACGTCTCAATTCATATTAAATCTAGAGTAAAAACTTTCCCTGCCCTCGCCTCCACAATATTGAATTCCTCTTTATAATGAACAATCTAAATTCACGCTAAACGATTTTTGCCGGAAATCGATCACTTCTTAGTGAAAGTCTATTTATAGCAAAATATGAATGCTTTTTTCTAACTTCTACCAACTAGAAAAAACTTCCTCAAATTACCTTTTGTTTTTGTTTTTGTTTTACTTCTATTCTTACATGCTCTGGTACACAGATAAGAAGGAAACACCTCTGTATAGTGAACAATTTTAAGTATTTTCTTGGATATTCACATTAGAGAATTTTTACTAGTGCCATTTAAATTGATCCCATTGACTTGTTAGGCTTTCGATGAAGATTAATTCTTAATTATATTTTAATATTACCATAATATTGGTGTAAAAAAAACCTAGACAGACCTTCACAAGCAGATAGACCAGACCGATGAAATAAGATGACAGGCACAAACAGACTAGGAAGAATGTAGGCCTGTCACTGTCATAGACATGTCAGGCCTGTTTAGACCTCTGGCCTATACATAAGAGAAGTTTCGCTTTAGATTTCATACTTCATTTTTCAAATAGAAAATGTATAATTTTAAACTTGATGTGAAAATACACAAAAAAATGTCCGCTGAATTATGATTTAAATCAAAACGAAATACAGATAGAAGTTGATCGACTAATGAAGCAGTATCCTCAACAAAGATCCATAAGTCATGATGTAAATCCTTGCCCCATCACGCTACGCCTTTCGATGATGAGATATCAAGATATTTGATAGTTTCTATCATCTCCAAATGATATTGTCAGTTTGTTAAAGAACACAAGTAAAACTATACAAATGAGTGATTTTCGTTATTTTGTTTTTGTATTTTAAAATAGACTATAAATATATAATTTTATTTCATAGAAATCAAATAGTAATTATGTAGTATGGCCAGAAGAAAAAATACGGAGTCTGCATAGGCTAGTAAACAATCGTATGTTGACCATTCATATAACTAGTAAGATTGATATCACATACAACCTTGGTATATGAAAATAGTAAGCAAGATTTCCGCTAGTTTACAACCACATTTATTTAACCTAAGTTCATGAAAAATTTGTCTCACAAAACACTTTATTGATGAGATCAAGTGATTTTTACGTCGCACATTAGATCTCTGATTCTTAATCATTGAACGTCCTTAGACTCGGTATTTTTAGTTATAAATATGTCTTCATAAATAAATCTAGATCTATACTGAGATTTGAAAGCATCAATATAAAATCTTCTAATTATCTTATTCCAAAGGTTCTATAAATCTTGACATATTATTCTAACATCCTTAAACAAAGAAAATAACTAAAGAATAAATTCGCTCTTTGTCCAGACGTTACATAAATATAAAAAAAGATAGATTTCAGGTCATGCTATGCAATAGTTAGAATACTCATCGGCTCTAAATATTCTTTATCTTCTATTTTCACTTTAAAAATTTTCTACAGTTTCAAATATTTGTGCTCGATCTACATATAAATTTATATCTCGAATTGTAACTATAACATTAACAATACTTACTATCAGCTGGAACAACATTATCGAGATAGACTTCAACTCCTTGAAATGGAATAATCATAAAATCTTGTCTAAACAATTATAAGTTCGAGTTCTTTTTTGACTTATTATCAAAGAAAAAAATAAAAATTATACCTAAGAAGACGTAGAGAATTTGCATGTACATAAAGATAACCTCCATAATCAAGAAATTTAATCATAGCCATATCATCATTACTGTTATATACTGTGATTAATGCTCGAAACCAACCTGCTTGTGTTGGTGCTGCACATATGACACCGGCTGAAAAATAAAAAAAGGAAATTTTTTCAAAAAAAAACAAAAACAATAATAAATAAATCCTTTTACATTGAATAGGTCGAGGTAAAAGTGGTGTCATTTCCGTATGATGATAAAAAACTGACATTGAATTATCAAGACGTGCAAGTTCAGCATAAGATGGATGTAAAATTTGTTGAACAAATATATGATTACATGAAACAACACTTGTAACAAGTACTTCTGTAGGTATTCCATCAGGTAAATAAAGCTAAACAAATCAAAATAAAGTACTAATATTTTCTATTATTAATTATCATACTTGAGCAACAGATTGTGGAACAGGTACACGTTCAGGTGGACGTTGTCGTACAACAATTTTTTTATTAATAGGTTTAAAAGCAACTTGTGGATAACGATCAGGTGGAAAACGTTTAGCTATTAATTCAATTGCTTGTTCAACATCTACTCGACGACCTATTAGACATCATTTCGATTTAAAAAAAGTATATATTTCGAAATAAGTCTAATCAAACCATGTAAAGCAACAACTTGCTTTTCAAATGATACAGCATCATCTCGTACAACTAAATCAACTTGAGTCATTTGTCGAATATAATCAACATGAACACCTTGTCGACCAATAAGACGACCACATAATTCAACAGGAAAATGAAATTCATAGATAATTATCTCTTGTTCTTTTGCTTCCTACCCACACACACAAAAGAAAAAAAAAACGAAGTGTTTTCAAATCCGCCAGCTGCGTTTACATTCTCATACACATAGACCTTCTCAACCAATTTGAAATTATAAAGATATATGCTTATCAACTCAATCAATCAAGATAAGATTAGACAACATATACATATATTTAGATGATTCGTTTCTTTTGTTTTTTTTTGATAAAAAGAAATCTTTGAAAATTTTTATCATGACATAAAGTATCTAATGGATATAGTAGCCGTCAGTCATTTCTAATATAGGACATTGATATTATTGTTCTGATCAATCATTCAATAAAAGAAACGATAAGCCCATTATTTCCTATTCAAATATATTGTTATCATATGATTCATTATTTTATCTATTGAATTTGATTGATCGAAATCTATGATTTCGTATGAACATGAACATAATTTCTTTTTTTCTCTGTTTAATGATACAATTCAAATGATTGATGAAAATATATTTCTCATTAAATTCTACTCAAATAATATCATATTAAAAACTGAAATAAATTCTATAACTATTTTTAAAATCATTTATTTATTGAACTATCAATTTAAAGAAGTGACTAATGATTAACACAGAATCGAAATAAAACTCTTGAATTTGAAAATAAGAATCTAATTTATTCGTATTATAAAAGTCTAATAATGATTCTATTCGAACAAAGATAAATACAATATATTTCATAAATTTTTCGAAAAGCTTCATCAATGTTCCGTAAGTCTCGATGTGGGAAGTGTTAGCCCCCCCCCCCTGTCGCCACTTTTTATATCGTGTTTACAAAAATTCTGAGCTGTAATCAGAGAAAACTGTCCGCCAAGTAGAGTCCGTCGAGTCCAAAATTTTCAAAACCCACCAAACCGTACTTTGATACTCTCAATGAAATTATCCAAACGGGATTGTGGATAGTCACTCGAAAGATACAAGATAGTTTTTTTCGATTTTTTTTTGTATTTAGTGCCTAGTGCGTTCTACATATTTTTCATATGACTAGAGTCCATCGGATTCAAAATTTTCGGACTCAACTACCAAGTTTAAAAAAGCAGGTTTTTTTTCTATGAAACGGATTACGTTTGACTGCTTGTTAAATTTTTAGCTCGCTTCTACTTCAAAAAAATTTCCAGAACCCTACATTATTCATAGGCAAATATATAAACTTATGATTATCAAAACAAGTTGAATTCTCTATTCTACGCATTATAGATTTAATCTTCCATGAATTGTATCTCTTTTCGATTGAAACATTTTCTTTGAATTAATATGAAACAAAAATATGAACAATATCGACTGCAATAAGTTTTAAATTCAAGAAAAAGAAAACGACTGATGATAACAAGATTTTTGAATTTATCTTTAGTTAAAATTTTGTTTTTATTAACTGTTCAGTTCAATTAGTGATAGAAGAAAGTATTCTGTTCAGTTCAATTAGTGATAGAAGAAAGTATTCTGTTCAGTTATAATTTTAAATAAATATTCTAATCAGTTTATGTTTTTCTTTTTGTTTCGTACCTTATCAGTAAGTGGTGTTGAAGGAGTTTCAGCTGTTGTTGGAGTATCACTAGTATTGAATGAAAAATCATTATTTTGTTGGATTTTATCATCATAAAATTGTTGTTGATAATTTTCTGATTCCATTTTCTTATCTATTGTTAATTTTTCTTTTTTTGATGATGGTATTGCTGATACCGATGGTGGAGGTTTAATGATAACAGTCGGTTTCGAAATCGAATTTTGATTCTTCATCTACGATACAATATAAAAGGAACGAAAAGAAAAAAAAATCAATGTTTTTTTCCTCTTTTTTTCTTTTTCTTTCAATGACTCATGATAAAAAAAATCAAACAATTTCGTAATTCTCCCGGCAACGTACTAAAAGAAAACTGTGATGTAAATAGAAAAATATTCATAGAGGATAATCGAACGAACGAATTATTTCTTTTTTTATTATTGGTTTTAAAAATTTACCAATAAGAAAAATATCACTTAAATAAAATGCATTTATAGATTAGATTTAATATCATAAAGATATTTTTGTAGCCTCAATAAAACTATTGGTGGATTCCAAATGATTTAGCTCACTCACTTATTTTTAATTGAACAAATAATATAATTTATGACAACTTGACGTCATCTTTGTTTTCCTTTTAGATCGATATTCATTTCATTCCTTGTTTTTTCTTTTCTTTTTTTAACATTTATAATTTGTATCTTTTTTCTAATTAACAATCAATTTACAAAAATGACAACGTCCAATTTACAAAAATTAGTCGGAACGAGTATGACATGAAAAGAGATAAATTTTTTGTTTAAGTTTAATTAAAAAAATAATAAATTCTTTTAGAATTAATATCTGAAATGTTACGATGTGAATCTGTTCGACAAAAAGAAAGAAATGATTGGAAAGTTTTAGTTATGGATCGTTTAGCAACAAGAATTATATCAGCATCATGTAAAATGCATGACATTATGTCAGAAGGAATAACAAGTATAAAAGATACTTAATTAATTAGTTAACTATAATAATTTAAATTTAATTTTTAGTTGTTGAAGATATTATGAAAAGGCGTGAACCATTAGGAATGCTTGAAGCTGTTTATTTTATTCAACCAAATGAAAAAGTATTAATTGCTTTTCTTTTCCTTTTTTTTTAATTTGAATTAATTATTTTATTTAGTCGGTTAATGAACTTATTAATGATTTTGATAAAACTCATGCATTAGTACCCAAATATAAAGCAGCACATGTTTTTTTTACTGAAGGTAAAAAAAAATATTATGATGAACTTTATTAGAAAAAATTTTCCTATGGCAGAATAAATTTTTAATTCTACTCATAAGAATCATTGAAATAATATGTTGAATACATAAATTGCCGGAAAAAAAAGTTTTATTAGACCTTTTTCTGGTTGATTTATTAAAACTATTACAAAATGAAAACGTTTATTATAACTTTCAATATTGATTAAGTGTATCGCATAAATATACATATATTTATGTGTAATCGGTTGTTTTCATTTAATTGTTACTTATATATGTATGCTATATAGAGCTATTTACTTAAAAAGAATCCATGGAGACAAATAAGATGTTTTTTTGCTTGTGTCGTTATATTGTATGAATCAATCCTAGATGTGATTTTCTTTATGTTGATTATTAATCCTCGACAAATAGACACAATAGAAAAGTTTTGAATATTTATAAATTATATGAATCATTTTGTTATATTTGAAAACAAGAAATATTATTCATTTACATTACATTATCGAAACAAAGGCATAGGAATATAGAAAGTTTATGAAGCATGAAATAAAAACTGACATGAAAATTCTATTTACATAATATAAACAAAATAGAAAAAATAAATTTAGTTGAATATGAGATTAGACATATATATATATATATAGTCCATGACAATTTCACAATGTGAAAGAAAAAAAACAAGTTATTGGTCCATATAAAAATTGTAATAATAAGACAATATTGAAGGGATTAAATGAAAGTTTGTTAACAATCTGAAGATACATGATATTCTTTTTAACTATTTATTTGTTTTTATTTTTTATTTTTGAATGAGATATCACGTTAACTAATATTTACAACAAGAAACTAAGCAGCAAATACGTTCGTCGTATTTGTAATCGAGTTATTAATAGTAATGTCCGTGCAATTCTCGATTCAATAGTTAACAGCTGTAGGCGGAGAAATCTGATCATCTGTGCAATAAATTCTTGAAAGTAGAAAATTAACAGCAAAAAAAACATCAATAAACTCGAATGAATTTTTATTGGAATTGTTTATCAATGTTTGTATGAGTGTTGTAAATGATTATGGTCTATTATATTTAAGAAATGAAATAATTCTATCGAATGTTTATACAAAGAAATATTCACGAAGGAAAATATGACAACTAATTTTTTTCCAAATAAATATATTTGAGTCATATCTTTCTTTGGATATAAATAAGCTATTAATAATAAAAATCTATTATTAAATTGAACAAAAAAAATTGTCTTATTCTATCCCTCGAGTTAAAAGAATAAAAACTTATTTTTCATTGAAAATATAATTGTCATTTTGTTATTGTTAAATTCTCTTATAATAATCTCGTGAGAATATTTTATTAAAACTTCACCTATCGATTTATTTCCCACGAGTAAATTTTTAATATTTTTTCTAGCATGTAATGCTGACTTGTTTTCACGATTAACTCAATCAAAATGTGCAAAATATATTAAAACATTAAGAGAAGTGAATATTGCTTTTTTACCATATGAACGACAGGTAAAAAAAAATTTGTTTTATATAAAAAATGTATTTAAATATTTCTAAAAGGCATTTACACTTGATTCACCTGATACATTTTATATTGCAAACAATCCAACACCACTTCCACAACGAGCTGCACATCTTGATGTTATTGCTGAACAAATAGCTACTCTATGTGCAACACTTGGTGAATATCCAACAATACGATATCGAGCGTAAGATATTTTCTTTGTTTTTTTGAAATTTTTTATTCATTTTTGATTATTAATTTTAAAGAGAGAATGAAAAAATGGTTGAATTTGCACAGGCTGTTCAACAAAAATTAAATCAATATAAAGCTGATGATGCAACTATGGGTGAAGTAAATAATCGATAGTTTTATTTCAAACAAACAAAATCTGAGTATCTTTATATATATGTGTAGGGTGTTGATAAAGCTAAATCTATTTTACTTTTACTTGATCGTGGTTTTGATGCTGTTTCACCATTACTCCATGAATTAACATTCCAAGCCATGGCACATGATTTATTAAAAATAGAGAATGATGTTTTTGAGTATGATGTTTTTGTTTTTTCCTTGTTTGATTAGTTTTAGTAAAAATAAATTTTTCTCTTATTATTTAGGTATGAAGTACAAACACCCGGTGCTGATCCAAAAATTAATCCAGGACAAAAACAAAAGGTTTTATTAGATGAGAATGATGAACTTTGGACTGAACTTCGTCATCTACATATTGCTGTTGTAACACAGTAGGTTTTTCTTATTGTTTTATTTCAATAATAATTAGTTTATTTTTGTTTTTCTTTTTTTTTTAAGGAATATTACAAAGAAGATTAAAGATTTTGCTATACAAAAACGTGTTAAAGATACTGAACGTGGTGAACGTACAACAATGAAAGATCTTTCGTATATATTATTTTTAATAATAAAATGATTAAATATTCATTTAACTTTTGTTTAATATAGTTTAATGATTAAAAAAATGCCACAATATCAAAAAGAATTAAATGCATATGCACTTCATTTTAATATTGCTGAACAATGTATGAATGCATATAATAGAGATTCTGGAGAAAAATTATGTTCGGTTGAACAGGTAATTAAATTTTAAATAGAAAGATCTATGAAAAAATAAGATATAACATTATCTTTTATATAAAAAAAAAATTGTTCAATAAAAAATAAAAAGGTTTAGAATAATAAAACAAAATCCAAACGAAGACATGAAACATTCTTATTGAAGCAAGTAAATAATAGAAACAGCTTTTTTTTCATAATAAAAATTACTCGAAACAATCTCTATATGAAAAATTCATTTTTTGTTGAAGAATTATAGAAATAAATAGTTTAAAGTAGTTCATATCGTTTTTGTTTTGTTCTATTTTCCGATCGATTTTTCTTTTATTATGAAAAAATGTCTCTTATGATAAATACAATGCTAATTCAATTACAAGAAAAACAAGTTTTATTGCACAAATTTATAATTTGGATAGTTCCTCATTCTTTATGTGAGTAATTGATATTTTTTTTCTAGAAAAACAAAAGAAAGAAAATAATAATAATAATATCATTCTTAAACCTTAAACGATTTCACATTGTTTAAAAAAATCAATCATTTCTGTGTATTGAATAGAATTTTTTCCCTTCATTTAACATATGTAAGAACAATAGACTCTTTTTTCAAATCCGAATAATTCTATGTCATAATGATATTGAATACAAAAATAATAAAAAACTTTTATTTTTTATTTTTTCTAGAACTTAGCAATGGGTACTGATCCAGAAGGTGAACGAATCAAAGATCATATGCGTAATATTGTACCATTATTACTTGATGCTGCTATTACTATTGAAGATAAATTACGTATTATAATGTTATATATTTTACATAAAAATGGTAATTTTAATTAAAAAGAAAAAAAAAAGAAACTTTAATATATTAATTTTCAGCTTATTGTTGTACAACACCTGAGAAATACGGTATTGAGAAAAAAGAATTGACAATAATTTTGCTAATTTTTGTTTCTATACTAATTGAAAAAAAAAATATTTTGACTAATAGGGAATTGAGTTTGATTGATATAATATAAAATTATTTTAAAACAAAATAAAGTTCAAATTTTTTTTAATATTTGTAGGTATTACAGAAGAAAATTTAAGTAAATTATTAAGTCATGCATTCATTCCAACTGAAAAGAAAAATATTATAACAAATATGCAATATCTTAATTTACAAATTATTCAAGATCAAAGTCGAGTATGTAGTTGAATTTTTTTTTTCGTTTTGTTTTTCCCTTCTTTTTTAATCTAATAAAACATTCAGCGTGAGAGTGGAGTCTCACCAGATTTAGGCAGAGCAACTGCTTTGCACGTGGCTTCGGAATTGTTTATAAAATCGTCAGCGGTGATTTCTTGTTTTATTCTTTTTTTTATAAGCATGAGTGAATATTTTCCTTTTTTTTTTCTATTTCAAAATATATCCCTTATATAATTTTTAATTTCATTTTTCTTTAACCGATGGGCTTTTATGTTTTTTTTCCCTTTTATTTATTATTTGTGTCTGTATGTCATATTCAGTTATGTAAGGAAGAATTAAAAAGTAGATGAATAATTTGCATGATTATAACAAATATTGTGATCGATAATTGATTGAAAGGATAGATAATTATATTTTAATGTTGATATTTTAGGGCGGAAGACGTAAAAACATTCCACAACCAAGAAAAGAGCGTACAGAACAAACATATACAAATTCAAGATGGACACCTTATGTAAAAGATATTATGGAGGTAAAGAATTTTTCAATATGTATTTTTTAATATTTTAATTTTTTTGTTTTTGTTGTTCTAAGGATGTTATTGATGAGAAACTTGATTCAAGACAATTTCCATCCATTGGAGGACAACGAAATGCTGCTGCTGCTTATAATGTTCAAAGGTATTAATTTTATAAGAAGATTATTCATGTAAACTAAAAAACTAATAAAGATTGACATATATCATTATAGTTTCAATTATTTATAAGTATTACATTTAATTAAAATGATATATTGATATAAAAATAGTTCGCGTGATCTACTAATCAATAACGATTAAGAGTATAAAATAACTACATAGTAGAATTTAAAAAAAACAACATGAAATATATTGTTTACTTCTTGTCGAACATTAGAGAAATTATCTTTAATATTCGAAAAAAAAAAGAAAAATTAACAAAATTCTTTTCAATCAAACAGATTTAATATATGAAAAATTCATTTTTTAGTACTCGAGAATATGGTAGTTGGATGCAAAGTCGTCGAGGTGCCGTTCGTTCAGGTCCACGTTTAATTATATTTATACTTGGTGGTGTTGCTTATAATGAACTTCGGTGTGCTTATGAAGTAACACTAAGTAATTTAAAAAAATGGGAAGTATTTATTGGTATGTATCATAAAATTCTATTTTTTGATTTAAAAAAAAATTTTTCCTTTTTTTTTAATTTTTTTTGTTTTTCTAGGTGGTGATCAAATAATAACTCCAAGACAATTTCTTCGTAATCTCGAAATGAAATTAAGACAAGAAGATGAACAATAGATTATAGGCTAATCATCAGATGTCCATATGTTCTTTTTTTTCCTTCTTTCCAAAAACTAAAAACAAGATCTGATGACATGTTATTTTTTTTTTCATTATTGTCTTGTCGATCTATCATTATTAGAGAATCTCTGTCTGTGTGTGTGTATGTGCGTTTTTTTTCTATCTCATTTAACAATAACACTGAGCTTTTTGTTTTGCTTATTTGTTTATTTTATGTAGCTTGCTCAACGCACATATTTTAATGATTCTTATTTTTCTTTTTATTGAATTGAGCACAAAAAAAAAAACAGAAGAAAAATCTTTTGTGTGCAATGTTCCAAAAAATAATCTCGATGTTGTAATAGAATGCGCGAATGTGTTAACAAACAGTATTTATAATTTGAATTTCGAAAAAAACCCAAAAAAAAACAAAAGTAAAATATTTTTCATTTTTTCTTATTTATATGTTTTAATTATTCGAAGAACACATTTTTGTTTATGTATCTGTATATCATATGTGCCTTTATTTACTTATGCATCTTCGTATTTCTTTCTTCTTTTTGTTCTCCGCTTCTGCACGATAAATATATATATATATATATATGTTTTTTAGAAATAAAATATTAAAATCAAAAATAAATCTAAGCAATTAGCTAAGAATATATTTTTTTCAGATGTCTTTTCTGTTATCAACATTTCGATTGATTAATACGAATGTTTTATTATCATCGAAACGTTTATTACATTTAACACAACCAGTTGGATTAAAAAAAAGTAATGAAAAGAAATTTATAGAAGTATTTAGATCGTTTAATGATGTATATAGATTGAAAAAGATTAGCATTCATTAAAAATTTTGATAGTGATTCGAATCGATAATGTTTACTAGGAAAGTCTTTTAAGTGATTAGTTGCTTTTCATTAGGGACTATGTATATTGTATAGATTCTAATGAGCTATGAATATCTTGACAAGAGTTTTGATTCTTAGTTTATTGATACAGAAATATTACATTTTTATGATTTTTCTTTGAAGTTAATGTCATGGTCTCACTTAACGAGAGAAGTCCTTCAATTGATAAATAACTTTTGAGCCGAAATTATGTACATTATGTAGACTTGAATTAATAATGAATACCTTGAAAAGAGTTTGTGTTCTTAGCTTATTGCTGTGAAGATACTGTATTTTTACGGTATTTTTAAGATGAATGTTGTGATTCTCCTCAGGAACATCAAAAAAAACTAATTTTCAAATGTTGACATGAAACTTAAAGGTCTTTTGATTTGTTCCTATTGTGAAACAAAGAACATCGAACCCACTGGTGTACATAAGCGATCTTAAGCAGATAAGAATGTCTGAAGAAATATTTAAATGCCCTAATTGCGCGGCTCCTGTTAGAGTCTTGTCACGTCCATTCAGAAAAACATCAAAACCAGCTACTTTCATCATAAAATAAGCACGTGAAGACGTTTCAAAACGCAACTTTTGCATCTGGAAAACGTCCAAAAAGTTTTATCACAATATTTTTTTTATGTATGTCACGCAGAATAAAGTCATTTGTACTTGAAAAACACTTCAAAATATTGCACGCTTTCCAGATGCAAAAACTATATTTTTAAGCGTTTGCACATATTTTCTAAGATGAAAGCAGCTGGTTTTGATGCTTTTCTGAATGGGTGTGAGAACGCTCAAATGAGAATCACGATTAGGATGTTTAAACGTGTTTTCAGAAATTCTTATCTGCTTGAAATATAAAAGATATGCTTTTACCATATCCTATCTTGAAATAGGAACAATGAAAATATCTGAAACTTTCACAACAAATTATTCTCGTCAAGATCTGTCTGCGTATGAAGTTTCAAATCGGAATTCGAAGTTAAAAAAATAACGAAAAAATGCAGTATCTCTGTGGAAATAAGCTACGAGGCGGAAATCTTTTTAGAGGATTTATAGCTCATAAGGATGTACATGATGCACTTTGTTTTAAATCAAATGCAAATAATTAATTGAAGAATTTTTCTTGTTAGATCAAATTTAATTTCAAATAATTAAAATATAGAAAATAATCATGAATACATATGTTAACTCATTATAGAAATTTAAAATCTACTTTTCATATCCAGAAAAAGTCGATATTTCACTAGAAAAAAATCCAAAATATGTAGTTTTAGATTTTTAATCAATAAATTCAAATTTCTACCTAAACAGTTCAACTAATATGAAGGCAAACTGGAGTTCATGCTTTCTTTTCATTAGAATATTGCTCCTTCTAATTGTAAACAAAATTCAAACAATTAACAAATATTTTCAGTTTCTTGAGAATAATTCTCCAAGATGAAAAATATACGTATTTCACTTTGATCCTCATCACTACAAAAATCATATCAATTCTAAAATAAAGAATTAGAATTTTACAAAAGAAATAATTTATTTCTCACAATCAGTAACATAAAAAACAACAACAGATGTCTCTAATTCAATTTATTATTTTGAGTATTGATCAGTAGATGATATTTATTTATAAAATAATAAATTATACAGTTTCATTTTTTATTTTTTAAGTTACGGAAAAAGTTCAAGGTAATGTGACAACAGTAAGTTTAAATAATTCTCTATATCGACGTTAAAATTTTTCTTATAGTATGAAGGAGAATATATTGATGATAATGAAAGAAATGTTTTAAAATTATCTGGACCAGAAGAAGTTTGTATTTGGTGTAAACTCGATCGTCGATCAATTCATATTCAACATACAGTATGAAAAAAATCCTAATTAATAAAATAAAATTTATATTTTATAAAAAAAAAATAAAATAGGATGTTCTTGTACTTCGCCAATATCTTCGTAAAGATGGTACAATTCTTCCGCCTGAAATAACTGGTTTATGTCCTAAACAAAATGAAAAATTACATACATTAATACGACAAGCACGAATGACTGGTTTAATATCATATCCAACTGTAGCTGTGACTAAACGTGAACCATTACTTGTTGATCCAACATTAAGACCTGAATTTGAACAAAATAATTCATATTGGGAAAAATATGAAGTACTAAAAAAGAAAGGTCATTATTTAGGACAATAAATTATTTGTTTTTTTTCCTTGTTCTTAAATAAACGATAGTTATATTTGCAAAAACAAAACAATTCTTTAAGTTTTTTTTTTATTGAATGAATTCATTGTTTTTAGTATATATATAAATGTCATCTGCTTGGATTGATTTATCTAATTTAAAAAAACCATTAAAATTTAATGACTTTTCAGTTAATTTTAATACTGATTTGTATAATGCTAAACCATTACCAAGCGATATACAGAAGAAGCTAGATGAAAGATGGAATGAATTACTTAATGATGCTAAACCAGGACGTATTTTATATAATCAATCGAAATTTCGATTACATTCTATTGAAACAAAAACAAACGATAATGATGATTCAATTCAACTTATTCTTAATTTAGGTTTAACTGATTATAAATCATTTATTTGTACTCAACAACAAAGTTTACCTGATGATATTCGTCAACATATAACAGAAGATCATTTATCACATCCTCTTGGTGTTGGTTCTCTTCTTATAACATCTGATAATTATATTGTTTTAATCAAACGAAGTTCTGCTTGTATTGATCTACCAAATATGTATGATATACCTGGTGGTCATGCTGAACCGAGGTAGAAAAAAAAAACAACAGTATTCAGATTTTCGAAAATACTATCACATGAGCAGGTAGTTTGTTGAAAACATCCGTAATAATTGATTCATAAGAAAGAAATTATATACGACACTTCAGGGATTAACTGGATATTATTAAAATTTCTAAAAAATTTCTTTATCATCGGTATAAATAAATGAAATTATATATGCTACTGATACATATATCCTTGGATTTTAGTTCGAGTATCGGAGAACCCTATCAACAACTGTCAGCAATTTTCTGAGATGGTTGGAAATTTTTCAAATGCATAGTGTATACATATCTTTTGCTATTGCATCCTAAAGGTAAGAAGAGTCATATTCATAATATGTGTGAGTTTGGAAAAATTAATAGAAAAGGAGAAAAACTTTGTGGAATTTCTTTATAGAGATTAATACCTGTCAATACATTTTGAGATACAAGAGAAGTCTCATTCCTTTTGGTAATGATAGATATTTATGGAAGGAAAACTTCTCTTCTCTGATATACATGAATTGTGTGGAATTTCGAAGACAATTTAGGGAAATAGAATTATTTTTTTTTTGTATGGGAAGGATGCGATGGTAAGTTTAATAGATGAATGTACTTGATATTTTAAATCTTACTTGCATAAGATATAGAATGTTTCGTGGCTAAGCTTTCATTTATTATATGCTTAATCTGTTGTTTTATATTTTTGGAATTACGTAATTGAATGAATAATGATATATGCATACTAATGACTATTATTTATAGCTTTTATGTGTTAATAATAAGGAATAAAAAGCAAATATTACTGTTCAAGACAAATGAGAAACCTTGAGGAGATTTCTTTCACAAAGAATAAAATACATTTATTGTTGATTGATTTAATTTTGTTTCTTAGGAATTGAGTTTTAGATTTTTGTCCGTAATATCATTCGTCTTTTTTTTAAAGTCAATGTTCATAATAGACGATCATTGAGGTTTTTATTTTTGATGAGTTTAAGATATTTGATTATTTAAATTATATGAAGACACAGACTACATCTATCGTCCATGGTTTATTGATTTGGAAAAGAAGTTCTCATTGACGTATGTTATATTTAGAAAATATTTATCATTAGTTTAGAGAAATTTCAGTAATTTCAAAAGAGTTGCAAATATCGAAATTTCTAATATTTCCACGAAAATTCTTTCTTATGAATTAATAATTAAGAGATTTCGTTAGAAATGACTTTCTAATGTGTTGATAGTTTCGATAATCTGAACATAGTTTAGAAAAAAACAAATAACAAAACATTTTCTAAAAAAAAATTTGTTTCTTTTTATTTTTTTAGAAATTTAAAAACATATTCAAAAGAAAATATTATTGAAGAAATTATTTCATCAACAATAGCTGAATGTGTTGATGAAACAAATGTTGATCGCAATAGTCTTCTTATTGATTCGTTTTTCTTTGTTATTGCTGTCGTACGAAATCAACCACAATATGGTCGACCGGCTATTGAATTTTGCCTTAGGTATAAATGAAATCCAATTATTTTCCAATAAAAAAAAAGCCAGTAAATAATTTAACTAGAAGTAATTGAATTATATCATTTAGTTTGTTTTGTATCGATTTATAGTTTTACTTTTTGTAAAAGACAAAATATTTTGTTGTGTTTCATAACATGTCTTAGTAATCGAATTGAGAGAATATATGTATAGGGCATAATGATATGATACCATATTAAATATCGACTCTAAAACCCTTTTCCACGTATAATAGAAGGTCTTCTTGGAGTAAAGATGTGCCAGATGTTATAGAAGACTGAAATCAATATTTATTTTGGACTTTTAAAATCCTGAAAGTCTCTTTCCAAAATGAAAATAATTTAAGACGTAATAGAAGCCTCTGGGAAAACTTTGTACGCGTGGACATAAGACTTTGAATCTCGTTTTGCCGGGAGGACGAATTACTTTAACTCAATAAGTAATCCAAAATTTCCACGCACTAAAAATAAAATTTTTGTATAAAAAAAATAATGAAAGAATTACATTAATTGATTTGATTATAAGATTAGTTCTTAAATTGATGACTTTAAATAACATTTATGGATTTAAAATATATCAAAATAAACAAGTTAGTTATTTTCTAAAAGAAAAAAAAATGTCTTTATGGCATGCAATTCCTTTGCATTAAAAACAAATACTTATTATCAATCAGTAAAATATCTCTAATGTGAGCACCATCAGGACCGGCCAACAGCATTCAGCTTACAGAGATGTTCATTGTTGGGAGGTCTGCAGTTGCTTTTTTACTATCGCTTGTCGACTGTGCAAGATGATCTTTGTTTCTTCTTTCCAACGATTTATTAATTCAACTATTTTGACTAGTGGTAAATCAGCACTTGTTGACATGATTTGATGTCACTAGTTGTTCAGAAAAGAACGACGAGATGGTACACCAAGCACTACGACTTTTCTCTAATCTCTTTTTAATATGAGCGATTATTATAACGTAATACATATAAAATTGATTTTTCTCGTCTTGCGTGTGAATGATAGGACATATGTTGCCCACAATAGAAAGGTTACTATTACTTCTGGGACTAGAAATTAAGTGCCCACTGTTTAGACTAATGAAGTGTTCATATTTGAATGGCGCACCCCTGGCGAAATTCACTCGGGCGGACTACAGACTGCCCAGTATAACACGATGCTCACATAAACAGATTTAATTGTAATATGAAGTAATCCGATAAAAATCATCACTAATATCTTTTTTGAAGGCATATCATTTCTACTCGAGCAATTTTCGGCACGATAACTCATGACATATTTTCAATATTTAAACAAGATAAAAATCTTTTCAGATCACTAACCAAATCTAAGATCAATTAATTATGAGTTTAAAATTTTACTTAATCTCAATACTATCTTCTAGAACATCGATGACATCGAGTGAATTACAACAATGTTATAATCTTCAAACACATATGGAAGCATATGAAACAAGTGAAATAAAATTTTGGCCTATTGATAAAATATCTGATCTTTTAAATTCTTCTCAAACACTTCTTTCAATTACACCAGCTTGTCATGTTGCATTAACAACATATTTACGTTTATTTTTTTAGATGTATCATTTAAGTACACAATATAATAAATGGTTATTTACTGTTGAAGAATTAAAAGAATTACGTACAAAAGCTAATAATGATTATGTTCAAAAAAAAGTAAGAGAAAACAAATAAATAAATAAATAAAAGAATTATTTATTTATAAAATAGAATTCTATGAATTGCTTAACAGTTGATGAAGAAGCTATGGTTTTACGTTATTATGAATTACAATTAAAAGATTTTTGTGACAAATTTGAACCACCTATGACAAAAATGGCTATTGTATATATTGAAGAATTTTTGTTTATAGACAAAAAAAAATAATTTATTATTATTTTTTTTTATAGGCTGTTTGTATGCAATATTTTAAACGATTTTATTTAAATAATTCTGTTATGGATTATCATCCAAAAGATATATAGTAAATAATAATCTTTGAAATAAATTGAACAAAAAAAAAATTTTGTTTTTCTATTAATTTTTTGTTTTAGTTTAATATGTGTTTATTTAACATGTAAAACAGAAGAATTAAGAATATCAATAACAGATTTTCTTAGTAATATTAAAAATAGTACTAATATTGATCAAACAGCTGATATTCTTTTATCATATGAATTATTACTTATTGAAAAACTTAATTTTCAACTTGTTATACATACGGCATATAGACCATTTGAAGGACTTATTATTGATTTAAAGGTAAGAATGAGATGAAAAATGACAAATTAAGATTGAATTTTTACGTAAATAGATGAAGACCAATTTTTATTTTGAAATTACAAATGAGAATCGATGTCTGTTCAAATTAATTGACATATCTTTTAAACTATTTCGTGGAATATGAGTGATCTTCGGAAACTAAGTCTTTCGCAAAGGAAACATTCTTTTGAATTGAAATTTTCAATGAATTCTAGTCAGAATTAGATCTCTATAGGCAAAATTTCAGATTGAAATAATATTATTCGATTGGTTGATACTCATCGCACAATAGGCTAAAGTTCCAGTAAAGCGATCTTAGTCCGTAAGGAAAGATCTAAAGACACTTATTCTTTTGGAAATTTTCATACCTTCTAGAATCTCTTTTATAAATAGAGTCCGAACTTGAAGAATGATTTATCAATTGAAACAGTTCACTAGTTAGAGGTTACAATTAGAAGTAAATGTTTATCTATGTTATTACTATTGTTAACAAAACATCTATTGTATTCATCGAATATAGAGTTCGAATTTATGATCTCATTTCATTAATTTAATTCATTCATATGTTTTTACTTTGTCTATATATTTAGACTCATTATTTACGTGATAATGTCAATGATGCTGATCGATTACGTTTAACTGGTTATGAATTTCTTGATAAAACATTATTAACAGACGTCTATTTTCTTTTTCCTCCATCACAAGTAAAACATTAACTTTCTTAAAAATAGAAAAAAAAAACGAATTCATTTCTTTATTTAGATTGCTCTTACAGCACTTTTATTTGCTTCAGTAAAAGCAGCTGTTCATATAGATGAATATATTCTTAAACATATATATGGTTCATTAGAATCAGCTCAAATGCAAAAAATAAAAGAAACTATACGATGTAAATTTTAAATTTAATTAAAAGAAAAACAAAAAAGAAATTTTTTTTCTTTTTCTTTAGTAATTGCAAATGTTGTTAGTACACCAGCTAAATTTAAAAAAAGTGAAGTTAAACAAATAGTTGAAAAATTAGATAAATGTTATAATATGGATAATGATCCGCGTTCAGATGAATATAAAAAGAAACGTCTTGAACAATTTCAAACTTTAACTGATTATGAAGCAAGAAATTTAGTAAATATTTAATTGATTTTTTTGTTTCTTTTGATTTAATATTTTTTCTTTTCTTTTTTTTTTAGCCTTAATATTTTTTGTTGTATTTTTTGTTTCTTATATTTGTTCAATAAAGAAAAATATTCATATTTTCTTTTTCTTTGCATTCTTATATCGAATACATCTATTCGATAAATTTAATTAAGATTCAGAAAATATATCAAAATATACTTTTGTGATAATAACATTAAATGAGTTTATTATCATACAAAATATCATTAAATATAGAAAACAATTCAATAGCCTACCGGGTTAAATCTGGGCTCACGTCCGAAAATTTTGAACTCGACAAGCTGTAGTGGTTTCTGTTACGTACAGATTCTAATTATCGAAATAATAGTTGTTAAAAATCTCTTGGCAAAAGCTGAAATATAGAAAACATATGAAGATTTCATTGTTATTAATGAGTAATGTTCAATAAATTGAATATCTAGAAATAAATGTATTAAAATAATCTCAAATTTTATTTATACAAAAAAAAATAATTTTCAAATTTTGAAAAATCTTTTTCTTTTTTTTCTACGCTCGCTTTTTCTATTAAGTTTTGCCGATAGAAAATCGTCAAATATTACTATGTTGTTTGTTTCCCTTAAAGTAAACATATGAATCATTAGCTATATTTATACATCATTATTACAATCTACTTTTATATTCTATATTCTTAAATTTTTAAAATTTCTTCAATTATCATTCATGAGTTCATCTTGAGTGTAAATAGGGTCATAGCTCGTACAGGATGACTGTCATTTTATGAATCATAAGAATGACTCAACTATGAATTATCTCTAATTTATATCAACAAGCTCAAAGAGAATTATTCATACTCTCAATTCATTTTAAATGTAACAATATTCAGAATTTCGAGAAAGAATCGTGCTAGGACTTTTTATCATGGACGAATCTTTAATGTGGGTGTAGATGGTTTCTGCGTTAACACCCATACCTAGGAAAGATATTGTAACACTTTGTACATGCAACGATATGTCCGCGATCAATCGTTCCTAACGATTTATCCTATGACGTAAAGTTCGGTTACTGAAAATAATATCATGTTTACATCGAACAATACACTAAATAGAAGTATCAAAAGTATAGATAGTCATTGATTGATTTTTAGTTTGTGTTGAATTGTGATCACAAAATATGCTCATTCGAATCATTTTCATAAACTATCTTCAATATCTTAGTGTTTATGTTACATGCATTCTAAATAATTCTTCAGCAAAAATAAATAAAACAAAAAATAGAATATTTTCAATTAACAAACAAAGCGCAAATATTTATTTTTTCTTGAATAGCAATAAAATAGAAATTCTTTAGTTATGCGCAAAAACACATACAGAAAGAAATAAAAAATAATGATAACGTTCATTAGTGATAATTCAATAAGTAATAAACAAAAATTTCCCCTAGAAAAGCAAGCAAACATTTACAGATGTAAACAAAGCAAAAGATTAAAATAAAAAAATACTGTTAGTTTTTGTTTGTTTTTTTTCACTTCAATTAATATAAGCTTCATTCACGAGCTGAAATATATATATATATATATCACACATTTATAAAATAAGTCATAGCAATAAAAACAAAAATAAAATAAAATAAAATAAATATTTTCACATATAATGACTATCAGATGATGGATCAGAAACAATTTGTTGTAAATCATCATGTATAGCAGATACTAAATTTTTCGTATTTACAACACCTTGTTTAGCCAACATATATTCATCATGATAATCATTACGTTTATTTAAATCTGATTGATTTAAATGAAAGAATTCATCATTATTATTGTCTCTTGGTGTCCATTCACTGTGTATTTGTACTCGTATACCATTTCGATTTTTAGGTATTGTATCAATATAAACAGCATCATTGTCAAATCTATGTTGACGTTGTCCAATATGATCACGATTAGGACGCATCATAAATTCGCGATCAGTTTCAATACGTATACGAGCTTCACGTCTTGGAGTATCATAAGGCTCCATCGTTGTTGTTCTTTCTCGATCCATTAATGTTGAATCATCATATAATGACGGTGGTTTTGGATGAAAAGGTGATACAGAATAATGTTTTCTAATATCATTATCATCTGATGGATATTTAGGTTTAAATACAGCAGGCATAGAATGTTCAATACCATGTGTACGATCACCAGCTTCATATGGATCATAATAAAGACGTATAAGATTAGGATCAGGACGTTCAGATACTTGTGGTATAATAGGTGTATGATAAATTTGTTCATTATCGTTGATAATACGTGAGTTTCTTGGATCATAAGATGTTGAATGACTACGACGTCGTTGTCGACGTTGTCTTTGTTGTTCATTTATTGAATCTGTAGTATATGGTTGATTTGGTTCAGCTTGATCAAGTACTTCATCTAATAAACGATGTAATCTTGTTCGTCCTGCTTCAGTATCAGATGGTTGCGGTGTACGACGTATTGCTTGTGTTGATGGAGTTTGTTCATACATATTCATATCATTATTTGGTGGAATAGAAGCATTTGGAAGATGAGATTGAAAAACTGGATTATTATATTGATACGTACGAGAACGATTTGTTGCTGAAAAGAAAATAAAAATAATTGATTGTATTTTCAAGAGATAATCATATTGATTTTTTGTTGATGAAAGGACTCTGTCGAATAAGGTGATTTATTCAGAATTGAGAAATTAAATATAACATGTTGTAGAGCAAATCGAGGTACATTGAATAGTATACAGTAATTCTTATTTTCATAAGATTTTGCAGGAATTTGAATCAATTTATTGATAGGCAACTATGCATTCGAAGTATGATCATTTACTGATCATTGTGGCTTTTGGTATCAGTCAGAAGTGTTTGTAGAGAAATTTGTTTCTATACAATTCTGTAGAGATTTTCATAGGCTACTAGCTCATACACACTTAACATCTTTGATCATTCTATTTTTAATAGGAAAAACATGTAACTTTTCAATGTATTACCATCATTTTTTATTAATGGTGAGTCGTGATGTCTTCAATAGTGTCAACCATAGAAGACATGACCAGACACCAAACTTTCTTAGAAATTGTGCGCGATGTAGAGCATTATAAAACATACTATTTAGAAGCTCTTCAAAATTTGTATATGATGCTCAAAATTGCCTTGTATTGAGAAACCTTAATCAATTTTTCTTTTTTGAAATACTGTATTTCGACATATGGACTATCAAAAGTTGATTTTTGGTGCGAAATAAACATGATATTCAGAATCAATACAACAAACTGCATTGTATAGCTTAGGTTTTAACTAAACATTTTTCCGTTAAAATTCGGCCCGTGGTAGACCATAAGACTAAATTGTGAGAAAAAATGGCCGAGGGTGAGTATTGATCGAATTTTGGCGAGAAAAGTTTTAGTTAAAATATAAAGTATTCAATGCAATCTGTTATGTTGATTTCGAATATCATGTTTATTTTACACCAAAATCAACTTTTGATAGTCCATATGTTGAAATACTGTATTAAACGAGGATATTTGATTAAGATTTCTCAATCCAAGGTAATTTGGGACATCATATACAAATTTTAATGAATTTCTAAACAATACGTTTTGTAATGCGTTACATCGCGCACAATTTCTAAGAAAGTTTGGCATCTGATTATGTCTTCTATGGTCGACCCTATCGAAGACATCGAGACTTATTATTAGTGAAAAACCGATGGTAAATCATTGAAAAATATCATTTTTTTTCTATCAAAAATAGAATGATCAAAGATGTTAAGTGTGTATGAGCTAGTAACCTATGAAAAGCTCTACAAAATTGTATAGAAACAAATTTTTTTACAAATACTTCTGACTGATACAAAAAGCCACAATGATCAGTAAATGATCATACTTCGAATGCATAGTTGCCTATCAATAAATTGATTCAGATTCCTGCAAAGTCTTATGAAAATAAGAATTACTATATAACATTCGATGGACTTCGATTTGTTCTACAACATGATATATTTAGTTTCTCAATTCTTAATAAGTCATCTTATTCTATAGAGTTCTTTGAACATGAAATTAATTATTTTAATTTATTTTACTTACCTGATGATGTTGTTCTTGGTACAGATAAGTTATAAACTTGGTCAAGATCATTTAATGGATCAGCATAACGTTGCTATGAAAAGAAAAATTTTCTGTTTTTTGTTTGTGTGTTGTAAAATAAAATTTTCATTTACTTCAAATTTTTCTTGTAAACGAAGTTTATTTCTCCAATGTTCAGCATCACTATGATGACGCATTTCTTGCATTGGTATATCAACTGACACAGGATATTGTGAAATATTATTTGAAGTTCTTTGTAATTCAATCGGTGGTGATCGTCTTGATGATATCGTATTACCAGCTAAAACATCATTTTGAGTTAATACACGAGGATTATTAAGAGGTGTTGCTTGTCCTCGTGTAAATTCATTGGAAGTTGTTGCATAATTCTATTCAAAAGAAGATGATTTATTATGTATGTTTTTTTTTCTTTCAAAACTTGACTTACTAATGCTCGAGATGATGTTTGTGGAACATTGTAAAAAGCCTACAAAAAATGAAAAGTGCTATTAGAAAAAAAATATATGAAATTAATTTTCATGAACTTTACTTCAGCAGTGCTTTGATTATTTCCTCGTTTCTGACATTTAGAATAAATAAAATAAGATAAACCAATAAGTAATAAAACAAACGCTATAGGTCCAAGAACAGCACCGATTATCCATAATTTATTATCAGTTGTTGGAGTTGACACTTCAGGCAAAATACTTGGACTTTGTATAAAATCACCGACAATTGGAAAACCCAATAAACTGCTTCTTTGATTTTCTGTTAGTTTGTCAGTGGCTATTTTAACAGCAGTAGCTGATACTGCATTATTTGTTGAACTAGTCACCGTATAATATACCCTATATGTTATCGGAAAAGTGTTAGGATCAGAAAGCTAAATCAATAAGAAAAGTAAATTCTGTCAATAGATTAAATGAAGAATTCTATTTATTTACCAAAACTATAGAAATTATTTGAATAAGATAATTCTGAACTGTCTGACGTTTACGTCGTGATGATTGTAAACATTCTAAATTGGATGGATTATTCAAACATATAAAGCCCAAATTTATAACGGCAAATAATCCTTGTCGAAGTTCTTCTTCGTGAGTTTTATTATTTCGATCGAAAGGTTTTGTGCTAGGTACTCGGAAATCTATAATAAAAAAAAGTGAATATTCTTTGAGGAATATATTAATAAATAATTACTATATACCTGTAAATATCAAATATGTTGGTAGAGGTGTGGTTGTAGTTGAAGTATTTGTAGATGTGGTGACATTCGTACTACTTGATGTTTGTGAAGTAAAAGCAGTTGTAATTGTTGTATTTGTTGTATTAACAGTGGTTAATGTAGAAGTAATCGTTTGAGATATTGTTGTTGCTGTGACTACATTTGAACTACTTGCACTAGACGTCAGAGTCACTTCAGTGGTAACTGCAACGGTAGACGTTGGTGTACTACTGACAACTGTTACATTTCCAATAGCACTTGAAGTTAAGGTAGTACTGGAGAAGCTTGTTAATGTAGCGGTACTTGTTTCAATGGCTGTCGATTGTGTAAAAAGGGTTGCTGTAGTGATAGCTGATTGAGTTGAAGTTGCTGTTTGTACACTTATTTCTAAAGTAAAGAAAAATGTTAATCGAGTAAATATTGAAATTAAAAAAAGCAAAATCTCGGAATTAAACATCTTCGAATTTGAGAAAACGAATATTATTCGCTTTTTCATTATTGTTACCTGTATACGAAGATGATGGGAGACTTGTAACTGTTGCTTGTGTTTCAACATTTGAAGAACTACTCAAAACTGATATGCTGCTTGATAATTCACTCTGTGTTGTATCTGTTACTGAAGAACCTAGAGTAGACAATATATCAGTATATATTGAATTAGTGAAAAAAAGATATACCTGTAATTGTTGATGAACCTTGGGTTTGTATAATAGATGTTACTGTTGCACTAATTCCTTCGCTAACAGACGTTGCAGATTGGCTAGGATATGTCGATTGATACTGTGTTGATAATATATTCGAACTGCTCTGAGATCCAATACTCATAAATGTAGAGGAGCCTGATGACAAGCTGGTTGCTTCGCTAACAGAAGAAGTCGATGGAATCGAAGTCGAAAATACGGAAGTAGTTGATATTGCTTGAGATGAAGGTATTGATTGTTCCATAGTATTAGTTATCGTCATTAAGGTTGATGTGAAGCTACCTACAGTCTCAGTGTTGAATGAATGACTGCTGCCAATTATATTTGACGACGCTGAACTACTAATTGAAGCGGCACTGTTTGAACTCAGAGTAATAGTAGCATCTGTGTATGAAGACGTTTCAGCACTGATCATAGTGAAAGAATGTGATGCCACAGTCACTGTACTTGCTGTTGAGCTACTACTAATTGCTTGACTTGTATCCGTGCTCGACGAAGAAAATATACTACTGGCAGTTTCTTGTGAGATACCTGTATATGACGATGATTGGCTGGGCAACGTAATATGTGAGATTGATGCAATAGTTTCGGTATTAATTGTTGTACTGCCACTTGATTGACTTGTTTCCGTTTCTGCCGAGAAAGATGTGCCAGAGCTTGTTTCTTGTGAGATACCTGTTTGTGATGATGGTTGGCTGGACAACGTAATGGGTGAGATTGATTCAAGAGTAGCAGTATTAATTGTTGTACTGCCACTTGATTGACTTGTTTCCGTTCCTGTCGAGAAAGATGTGCCAGAGCTTGTTTCTTGTGAGATACCTGTTTGTGATGATGGTTGGCTGGACAACGTAATGGGTGAGATTGATTCAAGAGTAGCAGTATTTATTGTTGTACTGCCACTTGATTGACTTGTTTCCGTTTGTGTCGAGAAAGATATGCCAGAACTGGCTTCTTGTGAGACACTTGTATGTAGTGATGATTGGCTGGACAACGTAATGGGTGAGATTGATTCAAGAGTAGCAGTATTTATTGTTGTGCTACCAGCTGATTGACTTGTTTCCGTTTGTGTCGAGAAAGATATGCCAGAACTGGCTTCTTGTGAGACACTTGTATGTAGTGATGATTGACTGGACAACGTAATGGGTGAGATTGATTCAAGAGTAACAGTATTTATTATTGTGCTACCAGCTGATTGACTTGTTTCCGTTTGTGGTGAAAAATATGTACTAGAAACAGTTTCTTGTGAGATTCCTGTTAGTGAGGATAACTGACTTGATGATATGAAAGGTGAAATAGATGGAAGAGTAGCAGTATGGATTGTTATGCTGGCAGTTGATTGACTTATATCCGTATGCTGTAAGGAGGACGTGTCAGAGCTGGTTTCTTGTGAGATACTTGTATGCAACGATGGCTGACTTGAGAATGAAATAGATGAAATTTGTGTCGTAGTAGCTGTGTTTTCTGCAGTATTGTCAATTGCTCGGCTTGTATCCGTATGCAACGATGAGGATGATGTATGGGTAACTGATGTTGGTGATACTGATGAATCAATTGCTGTTGAAAGAAAAAAAAATGTCGTAACGATAGAATTCAGGGACGTGCTACTAAATGTTTCACTTGTGTCTAAGTGTGCTGACGACGAAATGCCGTTACTTGTTACTTGTGATACCTCGGTACTTGGTAACGATGAACTTGTAATCGTTAAAAGTGTAACAGGTATCGAAGTGGCTGTAGGTAGTGATGATGATGTGTCAGTACTTATTTGTTGTGATGCATCAGTGTGAGAAAATGATTCACTTGTGAATGTTGCATAGGAAGGTTGTGTTACAGAAGCGGTATTGATTGTTGTGCTTTCAATACTGTCACTTGTACTTATGTGTAGCGATGTAGATGGTTGGTTTGTAAATGTAACGGCTGAAGTAGATAGTATCTCAGTATTTGTAGCTGTACTACTAGCTGTCTGTGATATATCCATGTTCGTCGAGGAAGATATATGGATGTTTGTTTCTTGCGAAATATGTGTATTTGAAGACGATGGAGCTGTGAATGTAATAGGTGAAGTTGATGTAGCATTATTAGTGTATGCTTCAGTGTCGCTGGTAGTCTGATACGTGGTCGTATTTGCAAACGAAGAGGATAGACTGGTAATTATTGTTTCCGATGTATCTGTATTCATCAATGATTGAGTTGACATTACTGTAGTAGAATGTACTGTTTCACTATTAATTGTTTCACCAGTGTTCACGTGTGAAGATGAAGATGATACATTGATAATGGTAGTTAGGGATGTATCTGTGAGTGATGATGATTGAGTTGTCGAAACAGTAATAGCCGTTACACTAGTAATCGTCGATACTGAGTCTGTAGAATGTGACATAGACGTACTAGTGTCGAGTGGACTTGCTGGCATTGAAATGTATTCGGATGAAACCATTGTGCTCGTCATCAAATTTATGGTAGACTGCTGAGTATTTGTTGAAGTATCTACGGTGGAAAGAAATTGTGAATCAGTTTGGATAATACTCGTTGAGGTCGTGCTAAGAACTGTGAACATTGAAGACTCAGTCAGTATTGGAGTCGCGCTGATGCTATCAGAAGTGTTTGATGATGATAACGATGTCGTAGATGGCATTATTGACGTTAATGATGAGGATTGAGTGGAAATAGATGATTCACCAATACCAGTAGTAGACGAAACCAATGTCGTTACAGTTGTATCTAAAGATGTTACTGATGAAGTCATGTTAGAGTACGTCAAAGTTGATAATGAACTTGTCATTGAGCTCATATCAGCTGCAATAGGTAGAGAACCTGAAGTACTTGTTATTTCATTATTCGATGGACTATTATTATTGCTATTCGTTGATAAAGTATTAGTATCACTTAGAGATGATATTGTTGATGGATTTGTAACACTGGTATCTGATGATGTCATTATAGTGTCTAATCTCGGTTCTACACCTAAAATCAAAGACAAGAAGCTATCAATAATTTCAGATCATGTCGTATCCATAGAAAATGAGATTAGCCGTGTTTTCTTGTTCGATGCAGTGCAATAAGAAACTTGATTTTATAGCAGAAGTTAGTAAAGCAGAATAAAAGTCAGCATAACACATATATTTATAAGAGTAACTCATTATTGATATTACAGCAGAATGTATCAATGGTTAATTGCTATATCAATCGATACAACATATATTGACTAAAAATAATTTTTAAATTATATAAAGAAGAAACAAAAAAATACAAATATATATATATATAAATTAGTGTTACATAAGACGAAAATGAAAACAAAATCAACGATTATAAATACGCTCAGAAAAGAATTTATTCCAAATTCTCTTACCCGCCTGTCGTCTCACTAAATAAAATAATCAGAATTATAATTCTCTTTAAAACTATTTTCTATATATATATATATATAAATCAAATGAACCTATTATAAATTATCCAACTATGCATATAATTACACAACTAAACAAAAGATATATACCTCGGATATGTGCTTCAGATAAATCTTCAGCTAAAGAATATTCTAAATAAACAACAAGAATTATTACCAAAAAAAACAAAACATTTCTTAACTAATTATTTATTTATACTAACGATAATTTTTAACATTATAAATACTGAGTGCATGCAAACCACCACAACAATCAATTGTCATATCATTTAAATTTCTATTACATGAAATATTACATAGAATAGAATTCACAGCTAGTTGATTTAAATAATTTCCACAACGACATAAATTACTAAAGAAAAAAAAGAAAGAAAATTTTAATCGCACATTAATTTTTTTTTAATGTGCTTAATTGAATCAAATACAACTCAATAGATTTCTATTTAAATAGTAGATTTTACCCATTGATTATGCCTGCATAATTATAGCTCGTAGCACACTGTGAAATACATTCTTCAATCGAGTTCACAACACCCATCATTATATCTAAGGTTATATCATCAAAACAACCTTGATAACCAACTATAGTATTCAAACATGTCGAATCTAGAAATATATTGAATTCTATTTTATTATATAAGTAAAATATTTTCAATATAAACAAAAAGAAAATACCTGTTGTAGATAAATCAATCGAGTTAATAACATTATAAACACTATTTCGATTATCACCGCCACATTTTTCAGATGTTATACATAAATAATGGCATTGATCGTCTGATACTTGACCATATTTTCCATATTGTTGTCCACAACGACACTCACTACCATATTGTATTGCTGCATACTGATAATTTTGTTTTTGACAAGCAACAATACATTGTTTAGAAGTTAAGTGTTTATAATTACCAATAAATACTTCAAGATCATGATTGTCAATATGATCGATAAAACAACCCAAATATTGATTAATACCTTTGACAAACAATATTACGAAATTTGACTTCTTTTTTCTTTTATTATTTTATTTTCATTTCATCTTACCACATATAATCGTTACTTGAACAATTAAATAATAGAGCAAAAATAGTGCTCGCATTGCAAATGTCGATCATACCCAATGGATAAAAATATTATTTCTAAATCTAAAATAATATAGGATAAAAAACGAGATTTTTTTCTTTTTGTATTTATATCAGGCGTAAAAATAACATTTCGATGAATAATCATTCCATTATATTGATATACATAACTATACATTTTATATCAATAACATGAATTTAATGTAAGTTTTATCGATGTATTGATTTCCAGCTACCTCTCACTGTGGCTTCTATTTATAAAAGAGAAAAAAAATGCCATTGTTCTATTAACTGAAAACAATAATTTCTTTTTCTTTCTAGATGACAAAAAAAAAACAAGAATTGCTGTTGTTTGTTTGAAATAACAAACTAAACCAGCATTTTAACTGAGATATTTTAAAACTTTTCTATTTGCCTATTGTCCGATATACAGAGAGAAATACAAGCTTATTTATCGAAAAAAAGACTATTTGCCTTATCTTCTCATTAACTAAATTTATTATATCATACTTCTATGTTCACTTTTTCAAGCAAATATTTAATAAAAATAGTTAAATATGGTATGTAATAGAAAAAAAGTATATTGTAATAAAAATAAAGATAGCATATGTATGCGAATAACAACAAACCGATAAATAATCTAATAAAAATGAAATAAATTTTGTAAGTCTAATATGATCCATCTGCTATACATTACGATATTGATGGAATATTATTATTTTATTATTCTTGTCGCATAAATCATATTCCATAGCTTCGTTGATACTTTTTATGTTCTTTCAAATTCACAATTTTCCATTGAAATAACCGCAACTTTTATATACCTACGATAGACAGTTGTGGTTTGTGGATATTTGTTTTGTCTTCTTCTTCCTCTTCTCTTTCAATGTCGAGTGAACCATGTCCTGAAACATTCTTTTACTAATCATCTGAATAAGAAAAGCCATTGAATAAAAACTTAACTATATACATACTCATCAGAATAACTAATCAACAATATCAATGTCACGAAGCATTTATCTGAATTTAGTCGATCGTAAAGGCGTATGTTTAAAGAATATGTATATGGTTTTATGTGTGTACGTATGTGTGTGAAAAGAAAACGAAAATGAAAGATTATTTGCCAACATACCCATATTAGAAGATTGAATAAAAATAAAAAAAAATGAAAGGAATTTTTTTTCATACAGAATCAATGAAAATTACATTTTGAAATGGGATCTTAACATGTCAATTATATCATTTTATACATTTATATTTATGTATTTAAAAGATTGAGATACGTGAGAACACAATGTATTATTATAGGATAAATATTAGTGAGAGCGAAATGGATGCTATTACAAAGTAAAATGATATAGTTATCGATGTCGTACATAGTCGCAGTCTTTATCCATCTAATGTCTTTGTATGTGTCAAATTTAAGATGAGAAGGATATAGGGAGAAGGCCGACCGATAATTTTTGATATGTGTGCTTGAATGAAAATGTTTAAATTCTCATAGCTATTTATAGATAAAATAAATATAGTGTGTGGTTTCTTTTTATTCACAAGAAAAATGTTCACAGTCATTTTTCGTCAGTCAATATTGAACAGGCTTTTTAATGACTTTAAATCAAATATGTATCGTTTTTGTTTTTCTTTGTTTTTGCTTTTTTCCTTCTTTTAAGTCAAAATTTACTAAAGGAAAAGAACTGAAAAAGAAAGAAGCCTTATGAAAATTTGTTTACACCAGTTGTACGATAACAACTAGAATCACTGCATGTGCACAAAGAAAAAGAGAGAGAGAGAGAGAGAGAGTGGAGAAAATACATATTTCTTTTTTTCGTTTATTTATCTAACTGTCAATAATATAATTTTATCAATCAAAACTTAAATTTATATTTATCATCAATAGATTCATTCAATGAAAAATTTCGAATGATTATCTGTATATGAATTCATACCTGCGTATTTTTTTCCTACATTTTTATTCATCCACAACGATGATAATGTCGAAAAACAACATACACTCATTCCATATATATGTTAACAAGAGAATCTTCGTGCAGAAGAAAAAAAGAACGACAGATATATCGTATTTGAAGAAAGAAAATTTCTAAAAACAGTAAAATAAAAGAAAAATATGTACCTGATGGCCAGAAGAATTTATTTATTTATTTAGTGTTTCATGCCACAAGAAAAATGTCTCTTTCCATTTTGTTTTTATCACACTCTTAATGTTTGCTTTCTTATTTTATTGGCTCATATTGAATAGAAATATTATTGCTAATCTCCTATTAACGAATACAATGCATACAACTTCTCACGGTGAATAATTGAGAGCTTAAGAAAAAAAAACCTATAACACATAAAAATTTAATTCACGTTCTATAAGAACATCCTTTCATATGACTCATTGCCTTCTCTACATTTTGTCACCATTTTGCGTTTAGTCTGTTACCATGCATTCCCTTACCTACATGTTCACCATAATTACAGCCAACCGTGTGTTTTTTATCGATTCGAGCGTCCTCTAACGAATCAGCAATTTTGAATAGATAAATAAACTATATTTATGTACCTGCTTGTTACTTTTAGAGATCATACAACACATACTTAAAAGATAATAGTTTTATTAGCATTATTAAAGAACAATTATGACAGAAAAAACAGTTTTAAAACGTTCCAGCAATGCTGTACAGAAAGAAGTTTCATCATATAATGAATTATATCAAGATTCAACATCTATTGATAAACGAAAAAATCAATATAAAACTTTAATAACTAACTATTATAGTTTATCAACAGATTTTTACGAATATGGTTGGGGTCAAAGTTTTCATTTTGCTAATCGATTTCGTGGTGAAACATTAGCTGAATCAATTCAACGACATGAATCTTATTTAACATTAAAAATGAATCTTAAACCAGGCGATAAAGTACTTGATATTGGTTGTGGAGTTGGAGGACCATTGAGGCGTATTGCATACTTAACTGGAGCACATATTACTGGTTTAACAATCAGTGAATATCAAGTTCAACGAGCTAAAACTATCGGTTAGAATTTACTATATATTTATTTTTTTTCAAACACAACTTTCAATATGATTTAAAATTTTATCATAGGTATACCAGCTAATTGTCAATTTATTCAAGGTGATTTTA